AGCTATATTTGGTCTAAAAAAGTGCACCGCGAAAAAAAAGTTTGGGAATCGCTAGTGTAGATTGTAGAGTGAAGAGTTGCTAACAAATATCAGTTAACTAATGAAAATAAATAAAAACAAGTGGTTAAATTAAACTGGTTTTATTAATCATTATGTTCATGCGCAATTTAGAAAAAAAAATTATATTTACATTTTAGGTAAATATCTTAATGGGTAGGTATTATCTAATGACTATAAAATTACACTTAGTACCTGCGTATATTATATTATTTTACTTAATATTTATTAGTCTTTTACTCAGGGCTTGAAACCGAAAAAATATTTTCCTGTTTCAGTTTCGATTTCGATTATCGGTATTTATTTTTTCCGATTTCGATTCTGGTTTTAATATCGATTTTGGTTTTAACTGGTATCCAACATAGATTTTAAACTCAAGATGGTTATTATAATTTTTTATAATGACATAAAATACTGGCATAGGAACCTACTCGTCAGTCGTCAAACATTGCGTGGCGTACGATTTAGCGTCCAGTGTTATTAAAAATGTACTCATTGACAAGTCCGTGATATAAAACGTAGAAATAAATTAAACTATTGCTAAAAACTAAACTATAATCAAATATTTAGGTACCTAATACACAGTGACAGAGTGACCATATAGACTTACAAAAACTTAGTTACTAAAATATATCTAGTGTCTGGTTAGTAAAATTAATATTGAGTATAAATAATAATACTAGCAGTATCAGTTATATAGCAGACAGCAGTATTATAAAGTAGCTACTCTTAAGTTTTAATAACAATGAATAATAATAAGTAGGYAATAAGTAATAATTAGTAACAACACAAAATATYGTTTATTGTGCAGGTACTGTGTGAATGTAGATAATAATTAAATTAATGTAGTTTGATCAAAATCCATTAATATACAAAACAAATTTGAAGCTATAAAATGATTATTGTATTGGTGTTGTATGTTAGGTATTTGGATCACGTTAAAGTATGTACCACAATATTTGTATGTAAAAGTAATATATAATATATAAATATAATAATATTTCGTCTAATATTGTGTATACCCTGTGAGATTACCTATGCAAACATACGGGTGCCCGCAGACGAAGACTACTGCAGCAGTGCAGCTAGACCTACCTATATGATAATATATTATTATTATTATTATTATTTCCGATTTAGATTTCGGTTTCAGATAGATGTATTTATTTTTTCGGATTTCGGTTTCGGTTTCTGATACCGGTGTTATAATTTTCCGATTTCGATTTCGGTTTCGGAAACCAGTTTTGATTTTTTTCGATTTCGGTATTGGTTTCGGATACCGGTATTGACTTTTTCCAATTTCGGTTTCGGTTTCGATTTCTATTTCGGTTTTTAACGGTTTTAAC